CCCCCCCCCACGCTCTCTGAAAAGCAATGGAAAAAAAAAATCCTCTGGTGAGGATTAAAAAAATAATAATAAAAAACAGCACAAAACTAAAACATGGCTTTTTCTTCCAACACTTTAGTTGGATGATTTCATCTAACTTCTTTCCTGTGAAGGGAGACAAATTAGTGGCAAACATGTTAGGGGTAGAGATATTGATCATGCTCTGTTGACTGTGACTGTTAGCTATAGTTATAAGAAATATTAATCATGTTCTATTAACTGTGATTGTTCTGTTCTAACTAGAAAAAGCACTTTCTAACCTGGCTGGGAGTTGTATGCTCCAGGACACGGGAATTACCCTTGGAATGCGGTCCATTCTCCTTTTCTGAGAACTGTCTTTCATCATGGAAAAATTAACAGCCTTGTTCCCAAAACCATGGGATCCCGGAGGCACCTGCCCTTCGCAACCCCCAGCGCACCTTGCCTTCTTCCCCATGCCTATAATTCCTACTTCCCCATGTAATCTTTGTCCTTCTACCCAATATAAGTAGCTGGCTTATAGGGGGCCACAGAGTAGATTTTTGTGGACACCCTTATTGTTTTCCCATGTTGCGGGCAATATTGGAATAAACACTCATATACGATTCAACCCTGTCTCTGCTTAATTGGCTCAAGTGGTGACAGCAACCTAGTCCGGTTTCAAACCTAGTTTTGCCGTAGTGAACTTTTCGAACTAGGACTAAAAGACCAACAGATCAAGTTGTAATGATGGGACTTTTGGCGCTTGAGGGCACTCCATTACTAAAGAGATCTTAATCTGGGGTCCTGGGCAGAAAATCCCTACTTAGTTTCTTCTACTGACCGTTCTATGTAGGAACCAGAGCCACTTGCTAGAAGCCTACCTTCATTAATATGAATTAATTGTTGCTTTTCTTTTCCATTCTAAGGTATTTATTTCTATTATACTTATCTGCATATATTTTTATGGTACTAAGCAGATTTTTCCTCCCCCTCTTCCCTGTTAAGACCACCTCAAGTAAAGTTAAGGGGTTACATACTTTAAAAACCTGGTTAAGGAGTGGGAAAAGACTAACTACCAGCCATTTCTCCAATGGACAGCTCTGCCACAGACCTCAAAGTGAGAAGTGCTCATGCTCTGGTCGCTAGAAACTGTAAACCTGTGGTGTTCTGATTATCCTGATACTGGATTTTCTTTTTTTCTATTACCTTGAGTCATTTGCCTTTGAGATTCTAGACAGGCCTAAGGGGAAAGAACTAAAAAGAAACACATTTTGCCGCCCCCCCCCCCGTCCTCCCACAAAAACTTTCCCCCCAGAGTTACACATCCAAACTTGACATTCACATCTATTCACAAAATGAAAATGTTTCATTTTCCCAAGCTAAAGATAAAAACTGCTTACAAAACTTGCCACAATTCTGTCTCAGATTCATTTGTTTCCCTCAAATTGGTTAAAAGATGAAAACCATAAAACTTGCCATCTACCATTCCTCCTGGCCTTGGAAATCTGCCCTCAAAAGCTTCAGACAAGATGCATGAGAAAACAAGCCTGGCCTGGTTGAGTGGCTCAGTTGGTTGGCGCATCGTCCAGATTTGGCAGAATTATGGGTTTGATCCCTGGTCAGGGCACATGCAGGGATCAACGAATGAGTACATGAATGGGTAGAGCAACAAATGGATGTTTCTCTCTCTCTCTGTGTCTCTCTCTCCCTCTCTCTCTCTAAAATCAATCAGTAAATAATTTAAAAAAAAGAAAAGCCTGAAAAAGAGAAACCCACAACACCTGGAAATCGGTCTACATTCCATAATAAGGCCTTTCCGCTTAAGTACACAACACCCCTACTGCCATTAGTAAACTAAAGGTTACCATACTCAAGTTACCAAAAACCAGGACAAGGCCGACCTCCGGGACTTTTACCATACTACTGGCTGCCTGCCTGTGGCCTTGCTCACTGGGACGCTGCTCTAGGCTCCTCTATTTATCCTCTACACCTAAGATTTTCTTTAAATCTACCAGAAAGCTTTCTGAAGGCAGCAACTCCTTCCTTCCAGTATCCTTCCCCATTCTCCTCACCCCCACCCCAATGCCTTTCCTTTCCAGCTTTGCCTCCAGCTGACCTACTAAGCTATTTATTTGCCTGAGGCAAATTTTCCTCATTTCCCTCATTCTTTTAATTCCACTCCTCCCAGGTTGAGAAATTCTGGACTAGCTCTGAATGTGTTTTTTTTCCGGTCTCAAGGGTTTTTATTTTTTTCTTTCTTCTTTCCCATCACGCATGGAATCCTGGATTTGTGCGGCTTTGTTGTCTGCTTGTCGATCACTGATTGACCAGGCTAATGCGAGCAGGTCCTTAAGATCCCAAAGGATAGGCCAGGTGCCATTTTCACCCACACCCTGAGACTCCTCCTAATTACATCGGTGCTCACGTACCTATGTGGAAAATACTTGTGGACTGCCAGACTTGGAGTTAATTGGTTTCAGTTTACGTCTTAGGGGAGCAGAGTCCTAATGCACACGCAGCCCTGGTACAAGTGCCCGAACCAGCTTTACTCCAAGAGGAGTGGCATCCTGAAGGAAAGCAATGCCTTTTACTCCACCCCTTTCATACACCGCCTCTATCTCCTGCCAGATAGAACAGATGGAATCATAGATTACAAGTTTTCAAACTCAATTAATTGTTCATTAATATCCAGGAGTGGCAGATATATGGTGCTTCCCTTTTCATGGCAGGTCAAAGATGAAATTTGATTAAGCTTTGAAGGATGTGGTTTGCCTCTTGAAATTCCTTGCTGTGTCTTTATCAGTGTTGAGTAGCCCAGAGCAGCCTAAAGTGCCCTTATTTAACCAAGGGAGGCGCACTTGTCTGCATATATAGAGACAGGAGCTAGCACTGGGAGAAATCAAACCCGTTCTGCACAATGAAGAAGCAGCTTAAGACCGAGGCAGCACCACACTGTGAGCTAAGTAAGTAACTAGCAAGAATGCAACAGCCCAGGGAAGTTGTCCAGCTGAGCCGACCTGGAAGGACAGTAAGACATTTTATTTTCTGGTTGCAGCAGAGGTTCCCAGAGGACAGGTTCTGGTCTGGAGGGACTTTCTGAAACTCCCCAGATGTGTTAAAGAGATTCTCCGGACTAATTTGTGCATTTTTTTTTCTCTCCAGGAGAAAGTCTGTGTGCAAACCAGCCTGTACCAGATAACTGATGATGTTCAGCCCAGTTTTTTGGTCCCCAAGTTTTCCACTTTGTACTTTACTTGGATTTTTCTTCTCTCATTTCACTCTCCTTTTCTCCTTTCTTGGACTCTTTCACCAACTAGTAAATTTTTCTCCTAGCAGTTTTTACATGAAGAAAGAAGTTGGAGGGGTTCATGCTTTTCCTCTCTAGGCCTACGACTTGGTTAACCAAGCTTGGTTATCTTTAATATAAGGGGGAGGGCATCTAAGAATGTCTCTGTAGCTCTAAAGGACACTGTAGAAAATTAGAGTGGTTTGTGAGACCATTTGTTTTCTCCCCTCTATAGCACCACTAGTCTGCCATCTTCAGAGAAAGACTAGGGTGTGAGGTTGAGGCTGGGGATGGAGTGGGGTTACTTTGGGATAGGTGGAGATAAAGCTTGGGGGGAAAAGCGAGGCAGATGGCTAGGATGGAGGGAAAGGATTCATTACCAAGGCTTAGGAGTAGGGCATCTGATGCGGCCGAAATGCTTGCACTAGCTGATGTTTCGCGGTTCCTCTCAGGTGTGGGGAGCTCTTGGTGGGGCACAGATCCTATGATCTGCCTCTGGGGGCGAGAGGAAATGGTCTTGCAGGTGGCTATGCCTTACAGGGTGGAACTGTACCTCGGCGAGCCACGTCTCCAGAAGAAACGAGCTTGACTGTCAGTAGTTAACGTGAAGTAATGGCAAACTATTGCACGAAACTTACCTGTCTGCGTGGTGGGAGCCCCCAGGCGCGCACACCGTGGGCGGGAGCGGCGCAAGCACCTGCTCCGTGGGATGCAGCTCCGCCCTGGCCCTGGGCGCCCACCCCCGGCAGGATCTCGGGGTGGGCGGAGTCTTGGGACTCGCAGGCGGGTTGCCACGCGCACGCCGTCCGCTACCGGGAATACTGAGAGTCCAGCCAATAGGAATGTGCGGCTGCTGTCCTGTCGGCCAATGGCCGGGCGTGTAGGAGTTGGGCGGCTTGGCGCTGGCTCCAGGGCTATGGAGCCGCTGGCGCGCGGACAGCTCGTGAGGTGGCTGCGGAGCTGGTAAGGCCGGAGGCAGGCGAGGTCAGGGGTCAGCTGGGCGCTCCTTTTAACCCCAGACGGGCGTGGGGGGCTCAGGGCGGCGCCGGAGCCAGTCTGGGGCACACAGGGCGCCGTGCGGGGCTGCGAGGGCAATGCGGAGCGGGAGGGCCTGAAGCGCTGCGCCCAGATGGAGCAGCATTATTCCGAGGGAAAAGAGGGCGCCGGAAGTGGGGTGCGGGGGTGGGGGGAGCGAATGCTAGAGTTCTCGGGGCCTCGCCCCTTCCCTCCGGCGGCCTAGGAGAAGTGGGCGACCCCCTGGCTGGACCTGCCGCCTCTCGGGCACCGGTGATTGAGGGAGCGCTGACCCGCTTCACGCCGCGGAACGAGCCGACGGGCACACGGCGGCTTCATCTGCGGGGACTTTGGGCCCCGTTCGCGTCCGGGGCTCCCCCCAAGGAACATTCAAATGTTCGTTTCTGTGCAGCCCGCAAACAAAGCGCCCTCCAGTGAAGGGCCCGGGCGGGCTGCTGCGTACTTGTGTGTAGATTGGTTTGGGGCCTGTTTGTGCCATTGTTGCATATGGTATGTAAGTGGGGTGGACGCTCTTCAACTGTTCAGTTTCATATGTACCGAATTTTACAGCTGGCGCTTTTTGTTATATCGCCTTTGGATTCCTTTTCACTTTTGGTTTTCCCAAATTCCCTACCGCATATATCAGACTATGTCAAAGAGCATCATTAGGCGAGAAGGTGAGGAACCTGGACTTGAGTTTCCTATATGTGAAATGAAGATATTCTCATATTGTCCACTGCTTTCAAAGGAGTGTTAGGAAATTAAAGGAATTTGACATCTCTTTAGGGTGGAAAGGAAAAGCAAAAATTATATGAAAGGAGAAGCAAGGGGAGATAGGCTTCCAGAAACTTTTGCTGGCCGTAATTTTAGGTGAAACCAGGGAACAGTTTACCTTGACTTCTGTGGAATCTGAAGCTCTACCAGTTTGCACCACGTTTTGGCTGTGCAGGCATTTGAGTAAGTTGCTTAGCCTCTGTTCTTTTGTTTCCACGTACTGAAAATGGGGACTGATAATATCAATTTTAGGGTGTTCTTGTTGAGTGTTAAATGAGTTAATACACACGAAGTGCTTAGAACTGTTTCTGGCATGTGGGAGTTTTTTGTTGTTGTTTTTTACTGTTCCCTACATGTACCTTCTTTCCCCTTAAAGACTCCAAAGTTAACAATTCAAACCTTATTACTTAACCATTGCCCAGAATCCTGTTGCCAGTGAACCCTTGTCATTAACGTTGATCTGAGTGTATAGCATAAATTACGCGTGACTAGAGGCTTTCTGCTGGCTGTTTATTTTATCATTAAATAAGGTTAGAAACTATGTGATAGTTTCTGTTTGTGATATCTGTGTTAGGTAAATGAAACCTGAGAAATTATTTTCCTGTTTAGTTTTTCACTGGATAATATTGCATTTACAGCCTTGGGGCGTAGGCCCAGTTTATTTTGGATCCAATACCAAAAAGATCACCATTGCAGCTTACTTGATTTCTCATGTTTCCGGAATGGCCAAGTTGGGACTGGGGAGGGGAATTTCTGGGCAGCACTTCTTGTTAATGAATGGGGAAGCTTGGTATGAATCTAACATTCTGCTGTTAGGAAATCAGTGATGTTCCTTTGGATTACTCTATAGAGCTAGTAAGAATGCTTTGGTTCAGTTTTAACTCAGTTAAGTGAAGGTTAGAGTTTAGAGAATGGAATCCACAGAGTAATAGCTTTTCTGTTTGACTTTTAGTGCTAAGAGTTTGGGTGGGTGCTGTGGAATCAAAGACATCTTTATTCCCTGTCTCCTCACCATGTACCTAAATACAAATGTGTGATGACAGATTTATGACCTTTGTATGAGCTTCAAAGTCCCTCTCAAGTTCTTTCTGGAAGGCTCTAATGGAAGACTGTCTTGTCTTCCAAATCTTCTTCAAGGAAGCTGCTATTTATTTATGCACGTAGCCTAATTGGAAACTAACTGCAGAATGAGAAACTTTGAATTTACGAAAAAGAACATTGCTTACTCTGGTAATATGCTGGCCTGATTTGGCTAAAATGCAGGTGTTATAAGTTTAGTTATTTAGCTTTGCAATAAGACAGCTTAGTGCTCTTATAGGCTTGAAAGTTGGATGTTGGTGTGGTGAGAGTGGAGAACAGTGTCTTTGTGAAACACATTTATTTGTACTTGAATAATGAGGAAAAGGAGTGACATCTTTAAAGAGTTGAGTGTTTGAGGTAGAAAGGAGAGCCCTTTGCCCCAATATTGTCATCTTTATTATCTGAGACTCTGTGGTTTGAATGAAATATTTTGGAAAAGAAGGCTGGTAGCATTAGAATGTGTAGAATATAAGGAGTTAGAAGACCTAGACCTGGTGTCTCACTCATCGGATGCCATTTATTCTTTTGATAACAACACACATATATAGAACAATGAACAGTTACTGACTCTTGGAGACACAAAGAAGAACCCTCCAGGTATCACTAGGAGTATCACTGATAAAATAAAACAACACTTATGTATTATAAGCTATATTTTATTTTTATTTATTTAAATTTTTAAAAAAGATTTTAAATTGATTTTTAGAGAGAGAGGGAGAGAGAGAGAAAAATGGATGTAAGAGCAAGACATTGATCAGCCACTTCCTGCACACCCTCTTTCAGGGATTGAGCCTGAAATCCAGGCATATGCCCCGACTGGGAATCAAACCAACAACTTTCCCTAAACTGGTCGGTGCCCAACCAACTGAGCCACACTGGCCAGGGAGTATAAAAGAGTTGGCCAGGAATGATAAAAATATATTTATTGTCTAGTTCCTCTTCCACTTTTAATCTAAGGTCAGAGTAATTTAAATCTTTTAGTGTAAGAACCAGTTTCCAGTGAAGACAAATTGGGAAGTTAGGGTTTTCAGTCTTTGTGCCTATTGCGAGTAGGTCATCTTGTATGGATTTTGTTTGTTTTGATCCCACTTATCACTGATAATCAAGTGTCTGCTAAAACTCTGTGGTTATGAAAGGAGAAGGCTACAAGCTAAAATTTTAACAGGTTCCAAAGAGCAGGAGGCAATGTATGAGGTTGGATAATCTTGTAGTATGTATTGTTTTGACACATAAGTTTTCTTTGTTTTATGAAAAGAAACACTGAGGAAAATATGTACTTAAAATTGTTAAGGCCAGTCTATATCAGGGAGGCCAATATTGGTATTAGAATAAATGAGTTGAATGTAATCTAATGATAATGATTTTTCATATTTGCCAGAGAAAAAACTACTTAAGCATGTATGAAGGCGAAACATTTTTTTTTTCTCTGAAGCCAGAAGTAAGTATAGACTGATTTATACACTTTCTTATTTTAGTATAAAAGGGGTCTTTAAAATTGTTTTCAGAGCCCTGGCCAGTTTGGCTCAGTGGTTAGAATGTCGCCCTGCGGGGGGCGGAAAGAAAAAGAATGTCGGCCTGCGGACTGAAGGGTCCCAGGTTCAATTCCAGCCAAGGGCACGTACCCCCGTTGCAGGCTCCATCCTGGCCCCAGTGGGGAGGCAACCAATCGATGTCTGTATCTCACATAGATGTGTCTCTCCCTCTCTCTCTCTCTCTCTCTCCCTC